GTGAGTGGTTACCCAGGGCCAGGAAGGAAGAGCGATGAATGTCTTGGTCCCCCTCTGGCAAGAGATTTACTACAACCCAGACAATCTGTTTATTATCCATCTAGCTATATGATCTATTCATTGCAAGTTAGAGAGGAAAAAGGAAGTCAGTGTTCCAGCTGGGCAGGAGGAACAATAACCACGTCCATGTGTTCTTTGAGGGTCAGTAGTGGTGGTGGGGCTGGCTGGCAGCTGTCCGGTGGGGATGTCACCTGGCAAGGCCACAGGAAGCTGCATTACCACAGTGCTGTTTGAGCAGCCCTAATCAAAAGCTCCCCAGTGCAAGAAGAGAAGATAAACCCTCCAAACTGCCCATGAAAGGACACGTCTCCACCCTTTTGGTTTTGTGCAGCTTCTTTGCCAGCCAAGGCTGCGAATGTCAGGGCCTCATCTTTTTCAAAAACCAGTGAATTCTATTCCACTCCCTGTGATACATCCCTTTCAGCAAAACTAAACCAGAACAAAACACAAGAAGCAATTAAAGGCTCATGCTGCAATCTCTTAAAGTTACAGTAACTGAGTTATGCCTTGTACTGTCTCAGGGCTTTTATTATTTTGAAAAAAAGATGCCCTAGAAAAATGCAGTAGTTCTGAGGAAGGGTTCTTCTGTGTTTTTTTTTTCTTCCCCCACTAACCTCCAAATTTCACTTGTAATATGAAAGAAAACATCTTATGTGTAACTAAATTCAGAGGGAAGGCCTGCAGGTTTTACTCTCATGAACTGAACAGCAATTCAGACTCAAAACTGCACACAGGAATTTTTTATGGTTAAAATGTGTTAAAAGAATCTTTGAAATTAAGAACTAATGGCAGCAGCTACATACAGTAAACACACTGCTTACTTTAGAGTTAACCCCCACAAAGGGCAGATCTATCCCTGGTTCTGAGAGAACACCATGTAAATTCAACCGTGTGATTTCAGGCTACATTCCTCCTTCATCAGGCTGCTTGTGGCAGCTCTATTCATGAGCAGGGAGAAGTGGGGGGTGGATGGTCTGCATAAGCATTTTGAGCTAATGCACCTAAATTCTGAAGTGCCTTTTAAGTGTGTAAATTAGAAAACCTATAGCAAGAGAACAACTGCTGCAAATGCCAGAATAATTTTGTCTTAGAAAGAGAAGAAATAAAACAGTGTCTCCACTGATTTCCTCTTTCTTTTTTCCCATTAGGAGAACAGAAAGATGATTGCAGGTTGATTCACACTGTTCTGATTTTTTTCTCTCAATTCTTATTTTTAGATTCTACCCAGGATTAATGGGTGTTCATCTGACCCACAGTATGGGAGCAGTGCAGAGCAGAGTGCCAAATGTGAATGAGGATGGGCAGGGAAGGAAGGGGAGAAAGGGGAAGGATACAGTAAAGAAGTTCTGCCTGTTTGCCACTGTGGACTATGAAAGAGGCATAGAAAAAGATTTTTCTCTCAAAAAAACCCCTTGCTGCTCCTCCCCATCCCCCTTCACTCATGCAGGAATGAAGTGAACCCCTTCTCTGCCTTGTCTGATTTCTGTGTTGTGATCGGAGAACTTGGAGGATGTGACAGCAAGAAAAAGGGAGCAAGCTGAGTCTCACATCAGGAGACTTACTTTGAAACCCTTGCAGACACCATTCCCTCCCAAAGGGGCTCTCATTTCTTCTAGGTTGCTACTGCTAACATTTTAATATAGTTATTTAAATCCCTTATTTGTCCAGTTACACTGGGGGAAAAATACTCTTCTTCCTAAACATGAGCAAATATTTGCCTGTGACCAGCCCACAAGAAACCCCCAGCTTTCTCACCACCATCACTGTAGCTGGCTTCATCCACAACAGCAAAGATGCTGACAGGTGGGGTCCCCAAACTGGGTGGCAATCACACTGTGATAAAGGCAGTGAGTGCTGACAGTACTGAGTAATGGGGACACACAGAAAACGTGCCTATGCTCACACCCCCACAGAAGAGTTCTCTAGTGAGACCTGTTCTCTCAAACCCAGCTGTTGCCACCGTGGTTTCAGTGTATGACAGCAGCTGACTGCTAGATGACATCTTAGGTGAGTTTACTGTGTCTGGATGGGGTTCAGTTTCTCCACAACATCCCAAACCCAGCTGTGTGTGCTTCAGCCTTGTGAGCAGAACAACGTTGATAACTCAGCCATGTTTAAGTTATTGCTGAGCACTGCTCACAAAGCATCAAGACCTTCTTTGCTTCTCACTCTGCCACTGCAGCAAGTAGGCAGGGGGAGGTTTGGGAAGGGACAGAGCTAGGAAAGCTGAACCCAACTGACCAAAGGTATATTCTACACCCTCAGAATATGAGGAAGAGTCCACAGAGGTTTCTCTATTTGTGTGTATTTAAAACAAAACTGGGTGGTAATCTGGAGCAGACAGGGAGGGTTTCACTGAAAATGAGTGCTCTGTGATACACCTTGTGAAATACACAACTCCTGACAATTCAGGAGATCTGGAGATCTTGTCTGGAGTTCCTCCCTGTTTCTTAGCACAAAGAGACAAAAAGCTGAAGGCCACTGAAATTAACAAGTGTGCTGTCCCCACAGCATAGGGGACACATGTCAGATTTGTGGATTGTGCTGTAAAGGGAAAAGGACCTCTTGACAAGGAACAAATTGACACTCTAAGCCAGGCTGGCTGGGAGGGTCAGGTCAAATAAGCAACCACAAGCACATTTAGCACAAACCGGATATCAAGGAGAACATCAACCAAAGCAAAGGCTGTGAGAAGATGACCCTTTCCAGTTGCATATATGATAATTACAGGATTCTGAAAAAAATGGATAAACCCTCTGCCTATGCAAAATAGTACTCTTGAAAAATAATAGCTATATTTAGACTATTATATTATTAACAGAAACAGCTGTAGCCAATTTAAAAAATCCAAATGGAAGAGGGTGGTGCCAGGCCATATGTGTCACAAATGACATCTGAGTGACTGACAACTAGGAAATAAATAATCTTGGAGAGTTACAGGGATGATACACTTCTTCAACACTTACATACAAGAAGTACAAAATCCCTTCTTGAGTTACTCCGGAGACCTTATGTCACTAGCACTAACACAGGCCTGTCCTTTCCAAAGGGCTACAAATGACAAGTTACTAACCCCTAAATTCAAAAAAGGATTGGCCTTCCTAACCTTGTGAAATTAAACTCTTGCCAATGAGTCATCTACAACACTGGCCTCGCAGCAGCAAAGGGGACAGGAGCAGCTCACAGCACCATCACCACAAGGTGTAGAGCTGAGCTCCACCACACACGAGCTCAACCCCACGGTGATCACACCTGAACTGCCTGTGAGTCACACATGGGTTAGCACGGGAGCCAGAGCATCCCTGCTCGAGACTTTGTCAGTAGAGAAGAAATGGTCACAAACCAGAAGTTACTGGTTGTTTAGACTGAAAAGGACCAACACTTCCTGTGCAAATAGTTAACATTGTCTGCAATCAAATCCAGACCAGAATTTTATGCAATATGTGAGCGTATGCTCTTTATAGATACATAAATTAAAATCCAGTGGCATGCTTTCTGAGAAGCAATTTCACAAAACTAGAGCGAATGGGAGTCAAATCAGGCTGAAGTCAGAACATCCAGAAAGTTGCTGACATCTGCAAGCAGTTTAAGACATTTCCTAAATGCCTACAGTGTTACAACCATGGAAATGGGCTAGATAAAAATAACACACAACGAAAAAAACCCAACAGCTGGGTTTTTCAGGGAAGTGAAAAAACATATAAAATGTTATATAGAAAACTAGCACATGAAAGGGGAAAGAGGAAGAGATAATAAGTAGCAAAAAAAGCTAAAATAAAGATTATATACAGGAATCAAGAAGATACTAGAAAAAAAAGGCGGCACATAAAATCAGAAATACATCTTAAATTTTTTAAAGCAGATTATGAAAGATGAATCCCAAACAATAAAAAATGTAGAAACGTTCATTACAATATGACAGCAGCAGAAGTTATTCAGTAAATGTTTCCGATTAGCACACAGGTAAAAGGCTGGATGATCTGTTTATGATGATGATAATGAAATAGCTTCTTCCCACCACAGCAGCCCCTGGAGAGGGGATGTTAAGCAGTAGATAAACGATTCTGGGTGATTCAGATTAGTTGCTAGAAATAAACTTGTCTCAGAAGGTTTACAGAGGTAGCCTTGGAGCTGCTACTGCATCTAAAGCAGTTCTTGGTCTTTGGGGAAGGACCAAGGATAGGAAGAAGGCTCATACTGGGCTACTATTTGAGACGGGTAGAAAGTAATTACAGGCCAGTTGGATGAGTCTCCAGTATTTTGCAGAGCATAGAACAACCAGCATTGGCCTCAATTAATAACTTTTTTCAAAGCTCTGTAATTAAAGTCAATTAACTTGGCTTTAAGGAAAATAGATCCTGTCAAACTAATTTGATGTAATTTCTTGCAAAAATTACAAGTACACTTATAAAGGCAGCATCGTTAACAGTATTACAAACCTAAGTCATTTGACTAGTTCTGTAGAATATCATTATGAATGCTTTGAAGCCTACATGGAATGTTTCCATCTGTGCAGGGAGAACAGGACTCCATTGGTGGAGAGCACCGTATAAGATCAGGCTAAAACCTTGAACCTATTTTATACTGAAGTCACTTTTGAGTCCACAGTCATATTAGAAGCATTAAAAAGCTGCTAAATTAAGGAAACCAAAGTGCAACTGTAAATTGGAAACTATTTATTAGCAAACAAATGGGTTCCTGTTGGATTCCACAGGCATTGGTGATCATCCCTTTACTATTTAATAGCCTTACCAGTGACCTGGATTAAAGTAAAGTCATTGTGGTTAGGCATGAGACTAGGAATAGCAGAAAACAAACCACAAAAGAAAAAGCCTGACAGAGAGCAACTGGGGCCTGTAGAAAAATGGGAGAAACCAATTTAGGTGTTAATATGGCCAAGTACAAAATCCCCTTATGAGAAGAATCCAGGCCATACTTACAGGATGAGAGGGAGAGAGAGGACTCTATCCTCCGAAGCACAGAGTGAATGTGAGACCAGGGGTCCTGGGAAGCAATCAGCTCGACATGAATTCCCCACGCAAGGCTGTGGCCAAAAGGGCTAATGCAAGCCTCAGCTGTACAAACAAATGAAAATCAAAAGATGAGTAGGTAGGTTACGGTGATGCTGTGTTTGGTTCTTGTTCCTCTGCTCTGTGAATAACATATCAGGTTCTGCTGCTCCATTTTACTGTTGGAAAAACTGGCAGAGTGTTCAGGGAAGAGAAATTAAATAACTGGAAACACTGGGCTACGAAGGCTTCGCTATAAACAAAAATTTTAGAGGGAATTTTATTATTTTGTTCATGGTATAGCGGTATTCTTACACTGAATAAATTTGATAACAGCAGGCTCTGATCTAGCAAAGGTAGAAATTACATCAGGACTGAAAATTATTCCAATCCAGGCTGTGAACAGGCAAGTTTGTTCTGCTTGTTCAGCAATGATGTGTTATAGAAAATTAACCAGTAATTAACCCTTTGCACCACAGTTTATGAGGTACTGCCCACCTCTGCAAAGTTGAGAAAGCAACTGTGCTTGATTCAAAAAGGATGTGTGCCCACACGGCTTGGGTAAATGGCTACAAAGCAGGAGCTCCTGCAGGTGAGCTGAGTGGTCACTGCACCACACTGTGCTCCATGTTGCCACCAAGAAACATTCCTTCTCCTTGCAGGGTATTAATCCTGGCAGCCTTCCTGCTCACAGCTTACAAAATACCTCTGGAGAAACCCCAGGCTTTTGGGGATGAGGTGCCATTTATGTACGGGTGACGCCCAACTGTCCATCTTCTGCAGGATCTGCAGGCAGCCTCAATTCCCAGGACCTGGCTGTGTATAAAACCTCACTGTACAAAGCTCCTCACACTGAGATGCCAAGGAAACCACTTTTAGGAAGCAGATGGGTGTTGTTATGACTCTGCCACTGAGAAAGCACCGGTGACTCCTTGTTTCAGCAATTCACTTCATCTGCTGCGTGCCACTGGGACCTTGTCCTGGGGATCTGGCTGGGACCTCATCCCAGCAGCACCCCGCCACAGAAGGTGACCTCAGAGAATCATGCTGTGGAAAAGAGTCCTCCATACCTCACTGGTATTTCCTCTCCCAAATTCACCCTTTTAGGATGAACCAGTGGACTAGTTACCTTCTTGACAGAAATCCTTTATGCAGAACGAATGGATGAGAGCACCACTCCTGCAGGAACCTCCCAGGTCACTCAGGGCATTTACCTGTCTCCTCCTTCCCTTTCTGCATGCTGAGGGAACTGGGCTCTGCCAAGAAAGCTTTTAGCTATCTGTCCCAAGGCTGGGGTTGGGCATTTGGGCTCCTGAGGACCATGTGTTCAGCTGTGGGGCCCTGGTGACTGAATTTGCTTCATCTTACAGCCTGCCAATATTTAAATCTGGTGTTTTTTAAGGAGGCAGCACAAGCTTTTGTGCGTGCTGTCTGTCTTAACCTGGGCCTTTGGCCAGAAAGTATTAATCCTATCAATGTGCAGGAGTGGGAAGGCTGGAAGTGTTTGATTTGTGCCAGTTGCTGGCATCATCTCATTTTAAGCTTCTGGAATGAACCCATTTATGACTGAATGCTGCAGTGTAAATTCTGCAAATAAAACAGATAAAATAATCTCAATTACTTGAACTCGGGACTAGTTCACATATGCCACTCCAGAGATTTAGAAGGCGTTATTTCATACAAACATCTAATTAAATTTAATTATGGTTCTACAGTTATTTTTATGTTAAACAGGTGGAAAAAATGTGCTTTTCAAACTTTTGGTTATGCTCAGTAAGTGATGCCTGCTAAAACACAGCATGCACAGCATAATAAAATCTTGGTGATATGTCACAAACATAAAAGAAAGATCCTGTCTTCAGTAAACATGTAGTACAAAGCTTCTGTAGAGTGAATCACAGCAAGAAAGATTGTAAAAATTTTAGGGAGGAAAAAGGCCTGTCCAAGTGTGGTGTGTATGTACATGTATGTGTACATGCATTCACACACACCCTACTGCTTCAGCTCTGCTATATCCAGCATTCCTACCAACAGTCAGCTCAAAACTCTGACTGGCAACTCCTTAGTCACTAACAAAGCAGAGGTTTAGGGAAAGCTGATCGAGGACAAGGTTTCAGAGCTACTAATAAAACGTGAATCAGAGCCTGCAAAAGTATACTTTGAATTGAGCATTTGTGCATCTTTATACTTTTTGTCCTCCTGGATACATTTTTCCCCCCTCTCCCTCTGGCACAACCCCAGCTACATCCTACAGCATGAGGATGTCCTGTTAAGCACACATGCAACTGTGTTTTTAAACATTGTAAAGGCTTCTGTCAAAAGATGTACCAAGGATCACATAGGCCAGACTCCAGAAATAGAATTTTACAGATGAAGTAACTGTGATAATCTTCCTAACTATAAACATTAAAAACTACATAGAAGTAAAGAGCTTTAATACATGGACTTAAAAAACCTCTTTTTTGAAATATTGTAAAATAAATCAGATGCAAGGCTTTTCCTTTTATTCTAGACACACAGACACAGAATTAAATAGGAGAATGTGAAATTAACCATCCCATCTGCCTTTGTAATTCACCCAGACTAGACACAGAAATGCTATGGAATTTAATGCAATGAACCCCAGAAGTGTCACTTTCACAAATCTCAAGAGGCATCATTGACCTGAGGCTGGCTGCAGTTTCTGCCCCAATTCCAGTTTAATGTATTCCAGTCTGACCCTCAAGCGACAGTGCTGCTGGAGAACACGCTAAGGAACAAATGCAGGCAATTGCTTTGACATAATTCTTTTGGACGCAGGCAGATCGAATGTGCTGATGTCAACAGAGACCAGAAAAGAGTTTTATCCAATCTCCTTTCCTCACTGAAGAAAACAATGAGAGGAAACAAAGCACAACCCAAACCCCAGCCAAACAACATGCCCACCTCCCAGCAGCAATACTGATACATGCTAAGAAAGGGAGAACCAAGGAAAATGTTCCTAAAGTAGCATTTGTATGCATACACAGCATTTCATTCATAGCTTAAATTTACACAACTTGTGTATATCATTGGCTCTTTGCACATAACATGCATGAAATATCTGTCCTATAGGAAGTATTAATTTAAAACCCCAGGAACAGCTTAATGGCTGTTCAAACAGTGCTTTATGACCACAGTACCTTCAAAAGAGTTCCTAACATAGCTCCCTCTACTTAATGTAAAGTATTCTTCTTCCCTTTCTCACATGCTTCTAAAATTTCAACGTGCTCTCAATATAATTGTCAGGACTATACCTTCCTGCCTTGCCACTCACTTAAATATCCAAGCTCTAGCATGCTCTGGGGCTGCATAGTTTGAAGTCAGAACACTGAGACAACACTGACTTTTTTCTGCACAGGGACAACAAGAAGAGAAGCTGGGAATATTTTTTCCATAAGAAAGATGAATTATGGTGGGAAACCAGATCAAGGATTCCACAATGTCTATCCTGAGAATAAAAGACTGAGCTAAAGATTTTCTTCTCCACCTGGTGATGTTGCTCCTGAAATGACTTCTGTAAAAAGAGGAAGACCCACACATCAATGATACAGTTTTTCAGAACTCACCAGGGAAAATACCAGGGTTGAACATGGCTGGTCCTCAACTTTATACAATAAAAACCAAACAAAAAAGCAGATCTCAAGCTCATTTCTTCATCTCCCTTTTACTGCCTCTCCTTAGAATGGCTTCCAGCTCTGCTATTTACAGTTTTTCTTTTCTCCCAGTCCTCCAGCTCCTCCCCCATCAGTCCATACAGAAAGATTGTCTGCAATGGTTTAACACAAAAAACAGATGAGATACTTAAGGCTTCCCCTTTCTGTGTGCCCAGAGTGTTTCCAGGAAGAGAAAGTCTTGTGAGGATTCTCACTTTGCTCTTCTGCAGCTACTTGTGTGGGTCACTCTACCACAATAAAAGCCTGCATCTGTTACCTGACCACGACTGAGAGACAGATGAAGATTACCATTTTTAATGGTAACTTTTCGTAGGAAGTGTGGTCTGAGAGAGGAGTCATCATGTGCAAGAGCCACTGAAGCTCCTTGATGTAGAACATTAAACCACCCCTACACAAAGTAGAAGCAGACTTTTGTCCTTTGTCTACTGCCTTTTGTGTGACCTGCCCCCAGAATGTGGCCACAAATTGTGGTCCACAGTTTGGCTGAGCATCAGAAGCCGCAGAATCTTTTACTCTGTGCTGGCATCTGCATTAGCATCACAAGGCTCAGGCAATAAGGATTTTAAGCCCACCAATCATCAGGAACTATATACAATTTAGTCATAAAATCATAGAGTGGTTTGGGTTGGAAGGGACCTTAAGGACCATCTTGTTCCAACCTTTTGCCATGGGCAGGGACACCTTTCACAAGACCAGGTTACTCAAAACCCCACCCATCCTTGCCTTGAACACTTCCAGGGATGGGGCATCCACAACTTCTCTGGGCAACCTGTTCCAATGCCTCACCACCCTTACAGTAAAGAATTTCTTCTTCATATCTCATCTAAGCCTACCTTGTTCAAGATCTTTAATAATGGCATAGGCAGTGAGATTGAGTGCACCCTCAGCAAGCTTGGGGATGACACTGAGCTGAGTGGTGCCACTGACACACTGAAGGGAAGGGATGTCATCCAGAGGCACCTTGACAGGTTTGACAGGTGGGACTGTGCAAACCTTGTGAAATTCAACTAGACCAAGTACAAGGTCCTGCACCTGGGTCAGGGCAATCACCAACATCTGTACAGACTAGGGGATGAAGGAACTGAAAGAACCCCTGTAGAAAAGTACTTGGGGGTACAGGTGGATGAAAAATTGGATATTTTTGGAAAATTTTCCAATTTTGGAAATATTGGGAAAAATTGGCAACATGGGACTCCAGCCCAGAAAACCAGCTAGATCCTTGGCTGCATCAAAACCAGTGTGGCCAGCAGGTCAAGGGAGGTGATTCTGTCCTTTTACTCTGTTTTTGTAAGATCCCACCAGAAGATCTGCATCCAGCTCTGGGATCCCCAGCACCAGACCTTGGACTTGTTGGAACAGGTCCAAAGGAGG